TTTCAAAAAGAAAAAGAAGGATTGAAAAAAAATTCCCTTAATTAAGTTTAAAAAAAACAACATATTTTTTTGAAAAGAAAAGATGAAATATTTCCTTAATTAAGTCCCTATTAATTAAAAATATTTCTTTTAATTAATTGAAGTTTAAAAATTTTCCTTTTTTCCGTAAAGGAATAAAATCAGAACATCTAATTTCCTTCTCCACAGGACTATTCCTCCATCTGAAATATTCCTTAGATTCCTTCCTTCTAATTCTTCCAGCAAAGCAAATAATTTCCTCTCTGCCTCCAGCAAAGAAAATAATTTCAGCAAAGGAAATTTTCTTTCCCGGTCCATAAGCAAATATTTGGAAATTTTTCCTTTCCCGATCCGCAGATTCCAGCCTCCGTCCGCCCGACTGCCTCCTGCGCTGAGCGCTGCGAGCACCTCGCCCAGGTCGAATCCCTTCCGCTGACGTCACTGCATGGTCACGAACCTCCTGTCGCGTGAATGAAGTCTGCTCGACCGCAAGCGATTCCAAACCGCTCCTTTGGGAACTCTGACGGCACGCAAACTTGTCTGTCGCGAACCCTTCTGTGAACAACCCGCAACGCGAGATCGAAACCGCTGGCGATTTCTATTGTGAACCCCTCTAGCATTGCAGGCGGAAGAAGCCTTCGGAAAATTTCGCGTGCTCCTCTACGAACTCCTGATAGCACGCGGAGGCCGCCGATCGCAAACTCTTCCTACCTCAAATCGGCGCCCGAACCCTAGCAACCAAACTTTTCTGGTCCGCGCCACCGAATTTTTTTTTTCTTCCCTGCCCTAGAACCATCTCTGATACCACTTGTTGGGAAATTAGGGCGAAGAAAAATAGCATTCGACAAAAATCCAGAAGAACACAAAGATTTAACGATGTTCGACAAAGATGCCTACGTTCTCGGGAGCAGAGCGACGAATTCATTTCAATATTCAGAAAAGAGATTACCGAATTGAGATAACACCTAAGGTTACATACAGACATATTTATAACTCTAGAAAACTCTGAAGTACAATATGTAATTATCAAATTACCCTTGTACCACACCCCCATCCCACATAAGGAACCTCCCCTGATTTGGACATAATCTTCCGCTCCGCTCCAGAATCTGTCCCTTTATGATATATGAGTCATATTATATATATATATATATAATATCAAAGTTTCATTATTTTAACAGAAAATATATCTTTTCATATATAATTAAGGCAACATATATATATAAAATAAATTTTAGATGTTAGATATGTAAATACATAAGAATTGAGTGGTATGTATGTAAATATTTCTTAAAAATATGAATAAAATTTCATTATATGGTGGTTCTCATCACTGCCCTCTTTAGGTTCATCACGAGTTTATCAAACGTATTTTCCCTTATTCATAACATTTGTGCTGTTATTTTGTTGTAGTTGGAATAATTAATAGATATGAATACGCTCCTTAATTATGTTTTGTGATACTCTTAGCATATAATTTAAAGGTTTTTTCATTTAATATTGATATGTGGTCAACATATTTTCATTAGAGTAAATAAATTTCAAAGCACGACACAAATCTCGAAATACTTTTTGAGTCAGACATATTCAGGCTTAAATTAAAAGTCATATGAGACTTTAATTTAAGTAAACTTACACTCAAACTGACCAGCTCTATAAGACAAACTCGTTAACACCAAAAATGAGCTAATATGAGTCGGATCAAGCCTAAATCAAACTGTTAAACCGTCTTGGGAAGCTTCGGGTCTTTAATTGGAGGTTTAAATGCATGTCAAATCTAATAAGCTTTTAAAATAAAAGTCTCGATGGGATGAATCCAACAAGCACAAAGTCACTCGCTTTCAACAACATCAAGGCACTTAACCTTCCATAAAAGATCATACAATTAAAGGAATTGTTCTAGGCCATCTAAAGGAGTGGATTGTATTCTTGCCTTATTTACATGTGATGTCACTCCCAAAATCTATAAATAGAGCATCAATTCCTTCATGATGGGGGACGTGGAGACCTCGGTCTAGATCGAAGGAGGAGCTAGACCTTGTCTTGGAGAAAGAAGAATAGGAGTCAAATTGGAGAGTTATTCTGGATTTGAAGACCCGACAACCGCTATTATAGTTGTCGACCACCATTAACCACTGCTAACAAGTCGTTGTCAACCACCTTAGACCACCTCTTTCTTGTCACCATCGATGAATTTTGTGGTGTAGCGAAGAACCCTGAATACAGTGTGACGACACAACGTGAATACAATATTTTGACGCATCCTGACTATGGTTTAACGACACAATCTAAATATGGTGTAACGACACACTCTTAATAGGTGTAATGATGCACCCCGAATACGGTGCAATGACACTCCATATAGGATATAACGACGCGGGTTGAATACGTTTTCACGACACCTCAACTATAAAGTAAGGGCGTGCTGCGAATATGTTGTAATAATGCACCTCAAATACAGTGCAACGACACATGCTGAATACAATAAAACAACATACCTCTAGTGTGAGATAATGAATGATGTCCTATCAAAGATTCGATGATAACTCCTTGTAAAACTACTTATAAGTGTCGTATTTAGAATACAATAACTATATTAGGATTCCTAAATTTCTTTTTTTTACTTCGTATATCAACAAGTGATGTCTTTGTTATAGACATCAACAATTGTAGTACCAAATATGGCGTTTACGTCTATCATTATAGCCTTGCAATACGACTTATGTGGTGAACTGACACTTCTGAAGTTATCAATTACAATCTATGTATTTTACTCATTTCGATGAATAAAATATTTTTTGTTTCAAAGCATGAATTGTTATGAGTCATCTTTTATCCATCAAATTTGAAAGTATATATTTTAGGACTTTGATGTTGTGTATATGAATATTTATTTACATTCGATATGATCAATTGAATTGCTAAAAAATATTTTCAATTTTAACTTTTGGGATAATCCTTAGTGGAACAACTCATATAAAATTCATTAACTTGGAAAAATGAATATTTACTACAAGAATTAAGCATATTTGTGTCAGCTAGATCATACGCATAACCGACGATATTTAAGGATTAGTGTCGGATTTGCCCATGATTTTCGTCTGATTTGTTCTGACGTTAAATTGGGGGTCGGTAGTTTTATTTTCACTAATTTAAATCAAAATATTTCGATGCAAATTAATTGCATTGATTTTTGCATCGTGTTAGCATTGAATTTGATTATACGTAATGTGTGTTGATATATGCGTCTGAAAATATCATATGATAAATATTAGTGTCAGATCACCATCTCATTTGTATTTAAAAATATTGTAGAACGATGAATTATTATTAATATTTTAGCATCGGATTTTGTGTTCGAAAATGAACATAAATCCAACACAAACTTGTACATAGAAGAAAAATTAGAATATCAACTGCATTTTCACAACCTGCACAAAATACATTTCACATCACATATCACATTAAGTATAGTCAAATCACAGAGCAAATCTCTAAACAATATCATTAATAAAAAGAATATACTGTCACAAATCGTCCTAAATAAAAATAGTAAAATTAATACAAAAAATTTAGAACAAATGTTTGACATAATGCTTACAAATAAAAAAAAAACATAAAAAAAACTACTCCTCTCCCTCTTCCTCCTGCACGGATGTCATCAGTTGTTTGTCCCGGCTATCTGCTAAGGTCTCCGTCATGCATGCTATAGAGTCATCGACTTTGTGTTGGTCTTGTAGCTTCTTCCCAAATAATTGGCGGATGTCCTCGTTCATTGCAGCTACCTCTCAGGCAAGAGTCTCCTGATTTGACTGTGAGGAGCTCGAGAAATTAAGAACAGGACCACGAGAGAGCTCGGCCTCAAAGACGATGCTCTTCACTCAAAGGTCATAAACCCTCTTATTCTTCCTCCCTGTCGTCTGGGTCCAAAGCTCGTACTACGAATATGTTGTGGTAAACTAACTACCACTGCTACTAGTGTCAGTCTGGGCCTGATTGGCCAAGAGCTACTCGAACTCCTCCTGCATGATGAAAACTAACTTTTAATTGACACTCTCAATATTTATAGTCAAAATAAACTTGTCATTTAAGGTTTTTAACTTACAACAACTTGTCGGGAATGGTCTGAGATCCACTCTGTAATCCCCCCTACGACGATGAGTTCGAACATGCAACTCCACAACTGAGGGAGCATGACTCAACTTCTTAGCCTGTGTAGCGTACAAAAGTGGTTAGCGCTAAAACTTTACTTCAAGATTTGAATCAATGTTTAAATATCTTAAAAAACTCTTACTAGTCTCTTGTAGTTCTCCGTATGGGAGACTGATCTGTTAATATGAAGTGCAACTCCCTTGACCCCCTCCGTCTCCCAATTCATTCGATTCATCTGCCTCTTCCTTTATAAATAAAGAAAGTACCAAGCTGCAGTCAACTTACCCCAAAGCCACTCACCAATTCAGGTAGGTCGCTCGCCCCTCTGGCGGGCTATCGTGAACTTGTTAGCAAAGTGATGCCTGCCACGAATTTCAAAGATTCAGTGGATTTGCTGGTGGTGCTCAGTGAGCCAGGTGAAGGACCTCTGCAACTTAATAAATATTCCCTGTGTTAATATAAAAAAAATAAATCAAATATACAAATCTTATTCAAATTACATATCATTCTTCAAACTCTTTGAACCACTTGTCTTGAGTTGCTACATGTATCTGCTTCCATGACGGACGGTATTTTATCGTATTATTCCCTGTGTTAATATAAAAAAAATAAATCAAATATACAAATCTTATTCAAATTACATATCATTCTTCAAACTCTTTGAACCACTTGTCTTGAGTTGCTACATGTATCTGCTTCCATGACGGACGGTATTTTATCGTACCTGCTGCTGATAATCTTTGTCATTCAGGCCATGGATAACTTGAGAGAAAATATAAAAAAATATATATAGCATGTCCTCAAAACTTTTAACTTGAAATTTTAATGTTTTAGTTGTATTGTCTGCTAGCTCCATAGCTAATAATTGCTGCTTTTTAAGGGTTGAAAGAGGATATTTTCCAAGCACGAAATCGCAGATGGCTTCTTCTATAGTGGCTTCGTTCTCCTGTCTCCCTACAAAACCTTCTCCTCCTCCTCCTCACGCATCTCTAGCCTCCTCTAGCTCCATCTTCATCAGCTCCGGCGAGAGGGCCTTGTGGCCGCCGGCGAGTCTCCGTTTCGTTGCTAGCCGGAGGAGGAAAGGCTATGTCGGGAAATCCCCGGGGCTCTACTTCCGCTGTCTATTTGGGCTCGGAGTGCCGGAGCTCGTCGTCATCGCCGGCGTCGCCGCGCTTGTCTTCGGTCCGAAGAAGCTGCCGGAAATCGGCCGGAGTATCGGGAAGACCGTGAAAAGTTTCCAGCAGGTATGTAGTTTTCAGTTACAAATGTTTAAACATGTTTGAGCTATGAGAGGGATTTCTGGACTTCGAAAATGGGAGAGTTAGGGATGGTTTTGGTGGTTCAGATGTTTCTAGCTGTAGATCTGGGGCTTGGTAATTGTTGATATTTTACCAACTACTGTTGTTTACAACAGAGTAATTTTAAGTGCTGCTTGACCACATTTAGGATTCAACACAAGTATTACTGAAAAGTTCTGAGATGGTTATAACTTCAAAGGCATGATGATTTTTAAGTCTTGATATGTTGATAAACTGTTTGATTATTTGATTTATGATTTAAGTCTTGTATGAGAGTATACAATTCATCCGTTAAATATAGTGGATGAGGCTAAATCGAGGTTTATCAATACATGAGTCCACAGAAAACTATAAGGGGGAATGTAAGCTAAATCTTGCTTAAATCCTGCCTAAAATAGCATACCAAGAAGTCACTTAATCAGAATTTTTTTCAGTAGAATAGATGCATATTTGGATGAAAAGCATTAAAGTAACTTTTTTTTTTCCTTTTAAAATGGGATGTTAGTGAGACTTGTCATTAAAGTAAGTCCCACTAAGTTTTTATTTTTGTTGTAGATTTACTAATTAAGTGGTCGGATAATCCATAAGATATGAAGTTTAACTGGTTAGGTAATCCATCAGATTACTGCTGTTATCTACCTCATCTAATTCACATTATATGGCTTTTTTCTAATCAAACGGCCCCTTATATTTGATACTTTTCAGCAAAAACGGAGCAAATTGGATTAGTCATTGTTCTTGACTATTGTTCTCCTCTCCATCTGCACTATTTCTCGAATTGACACAGTTTAATGCTCTACTTGTATTTGGAATCAAGATTTCCTATACTTTTACAATATGTTGCTCTCATCCTTTATTTTAATGTGTCTCCGAACTACTTCAAACCACATTCTCTTCATCGACCATGTTATTTTATTGTACAAAGCGAGTTTTTTGAATACGTGATATGTGAGGAACTATATGGTCTAAAAAGCAAAATTGCAAAAAGAGAGGAGTGCAGACTAATCAACCGAAGGCAATTTTGAATCAAACAAGGAAATAGCAAGAGTGTCTACTTCTTGTTAGTGATTAAGATTTTCAATTGTTCGCCAATGGGACTTGTAAGGATCAACCGATCTACTGTGAAAGGGAGAGAGTTTGAATAGAAGTTAGCATGCACAAAGAGTATTTACTAATTAGAAAGAGGATAGAGTTTACCATGATCTCAAGAGCTTCGATGGCTTATTCCTTCCATAGAACTTTTTCCTTATGCTTTTGTTTATCGTTGACCTTCATTTATACTTCTCTACTTGAATCCCACCTTTCCCCCTTGTTGTGCTTTGGCTTATTGGTTTGGAGAAGGAGAGGGGGAGATTATCAAAAGAGAGGCCTATTGGTTTCTTTTGGTTTGGCTTATTGGTTCGGGGAGGGGGAGTGGAGGCTAGGATTTTTGGGATAGGATTTATTACTTGATTCATGATATAAAAGAACTTCAATGGATCCTATTTATAGTCAATGGACTCTATTGACAGTCAATAGTACGCAATGGAGAAAAATGATTCATGTAGCCGTCCCTACTTAGTAGGATAAAGGCTTGTTGTTGTTGTTGTTGTATGAAAACATAAATCATAAATCCAATAGGAAACAATTATATTTTTATAAAAAATTTAATTCATAGGAAATAATTTGAATAATCTTGTTATCATTGAAATTGTTAGTCTTGCATGGATCTGGAAAGGGAGTTTTTGAGAGAATTAAGTTTCTTCCTGCCTCATTTTTTACAATAATTTCCATTTCTTCCTTCGTTCAAGAAAAAAAAATTTTGACTTGGCACAATCGGTTCTATCTGGATGTGGTTTGATGGTGGAACCATGTCCTCATTTCATGCAAGGCTCCTTGGGTCCTTTGAAGTTTATTCAATCCTCATTAAGTTATAATTATTTGGAACTTTTAAAAGGTTCTCTAATTTCCTCCTAGAAAGAGTAAGATTCCTTTCTCCATTTTATGGAAAAGTAATCGAATTTTGAGAATAAAAGTGGGCAATGTAATGTAGTATTTTAAAGACCTTATTATTTATTAATTTTGTGTATTATGGTATATCTTTTTTTATAATGGCACTGCATTTGCAAATACTAATTTAATACTTTTAATCATTTTCATTACGTTGATTGATGATACTTCAACATTTACCATCCTAGATCCAATGGTTTAGCTAAAGTTTCTATTATAACCTTGATTCACTTAAGTATGAAACTCCATTATTTACCATCGTCTTGCTTGCTTCATTGTTTTTTCTTACTTTACAACCTTGAATGCTCCCTTAACTCATTTCCTAGTAGTAGTAACATTCCTTTCTATTATGCTATATTATTGTAGTGCTCCCTCCTATATTACATTTAAATCATGAATAATAGGAATATCCTTTTTTTTTTTTTGGACATGAAGCATAGGTTCAAATAATCTCAAGTGCTCCGTGTTAAATACAGAGTAAAAATACAGATGTAGCCTATAAGCATTATTTTCTATCTTTTGAAATATATTTAAAGGTCTATATGTTAGCTTCAATTCATTGCTTTCCACTTTAAACATGTCATTTCTCATATGCAATCATACCAAATATTCTTCTTGAGAAGTTTTAGGAATATCATACTTACCATGTGTATACGGTACAACATGATATATATATATATATATATATATATATATATATATATATATATCTGTGTGTATGTTTGTGTGTGTGAGAGAGAGAGAGAGGGGATCTACAAGATTTACATAGTTTCAAAACAAATTAGAATAATTGAAAAACACAGGATAGCTTTGCCAACATGTAGATCATTTTGTTATACACTCCTTGCATTTGAGCACACCTCATTGACATGTAGAACGTCCTCTATTTTTGTGATCCATAAAATAACTAGAATAAATGGTTTATTGCGTTATATTTCTCTCAACTTTCCTCTTTAATTCGTCATTTTCCACCAAAGACCGACAATGTAGTACTTGATTTATTATTTTAGCTTTTGTCATAAGCGTCAACTTTCGTTATGCTCTCCATGGAGGCAAGCTTTTCACCTCTCCGAAAAACTTCGTGTATTTCTGCAAAACAAGTTAGTCTCTTGATTCTCTGTCGTGTTTAATATAAAATAAATATAAGAATTACAATTATATTATACTATAATTTCACATAGAAGTGGTACAAAACTAGGACAAATATGTAACTTTCTTTTTCGCTTGCCTAATGGTTACAAGATTAACAAACGCAAAAAGAGGAGTTGTTTCAAACATATATTTCTTATCTTCGTTGATAAGACAACATATAATCAATGGAACCCACTATATATATATA